AATATTTCACTTCTACTTCAGAAACAGTTAGCTATGAGTTCTTTTCTATACTTTTTAATGCAATTTTATGACCAGAGTTGATGTGCTGAAAGACTTCGATCAATGCCAAAACAGGTAGAGGAAAAAATTGATGCCCCGGGTATGTATTGTGCATAAACTATTGTCTGGTAAATCAAATAAAATCGAATAAGTAGCTTACAACATACAATACCTTTAAATCAATTTAAAAACTATTGCTTGGAGCTCAATTCTATATTATTCATGCTTTTTATAAGCATTACATCAATTTTTGAGTTGATTTTTTTAAGGTTTGTAAGTTGCTAACGGGTTAATATTTGAGTTGTATCATGTGAAGCTTAACTCATCGTATTTTAGCTTTATTAAGCGCTAATCACTCCAATTCAGCTCTTTCTAGTGCAATTCAGCTAAAGCCAGTCTATTTTAGCTTTGTTAAGTAGAACTCTACTCAATTCAGCAGAATTTAACCCAATTCAGCAACATTCAACTCGATTCAGCAGATTTCAGATTTCAATTCAATTCAGCACCCTGTACAGCACAGTTCAACTCAATTCATAAAAATTCAAATTAACTCAGCAGAATTTAACTCAATTCAGCAGATTTCCATTCAATTCAGCAGATTTCAACTCAGTTAAGCAAAATTCAACTCAATGCAACAGAATTCAACTCAATTCAACAAAATTCAACTCAATTCAACAGAATTCAACTCAATTCAGCAGAATTTAACTCTATTCAGCAGTTTTAAGCTATGTTTACCTCTATTCAGTGCAATTAAGTACAGTAAAATTAGTTTACATAAGAATTTGCATTAATTATTGCACCAATTTGGATAATAATCCTTAAATAAAGCATCCATATATTAGAGTATGCAGCTGATTGCTTATATTACCTGTCAGAACAATCAATAAAGTTAAAATTTACTTAAATTAAACTAAAAACTCAATTATTGCAGAAGTTATTAAAATAGCTTTCAAAATAATCACTCAATTCCATTTTAAGCAAGCTTCAAGCCATTCAAAACCCTAAAGACATGCTTTTTATCAAATCAACATGAACAAACACTTCATCTCTGTCCACAACAATGCGAATAATGAAAGGGAACTAAAAGACTTATGAAATCAATTACATTTTATGTCACATAATCACATCCACAGATATGCAGTTGCCAGGAAATATGTGAACTCGCAATATTTTTCAAGGTTAGAGCTTTAGTTAAATTAAATTTAATTATTTGAAAATTTAAAAGCGTAGATTTACAAGTTACAAAAGCTACATTCTACCACTCTATCAGAACACGTCGGAATTACGTCTAACGATGGATGGAAAATGCTGCGACAATTAAAATGCAAAAAAAAAAATAATTATAATTAAAGTTTGTTGAGATGGAGAAACATCAAAATTTACTTTTATACTCGCATAAAAGAACATATAAAAAGCTAAGGAGAGTTTGCAAAGACATAACTACAGAGAATCCCATTAAGTGATGATCATCATTTAACGTTTTATACTCATTTCAACTCGCATTAACTGCTCGCTATACAATAATGTAATGTACAATACATGAACTTATAAAAAGACAGCACGAGTAGCACAAGTAGATGCACAATTGTTGAAAAGATATAAAAAAGCTACCAATTGGTATAAGAACTATAATTATTGGGGGCGTCTATAAATGATGTCTATTGAGTTTTAGGCTTCTTTTCCTCTTATTCTCAAAATCATGGAAGTATCACCCAGCGACGGACCCCTAAAAATTAGACATCATTTAAAAACATCCCCATATGATCGCGCGGCAATAGCACAAGCCAATTAAAATGCAGTATCGATTAAACAGTGTAGATTTCAACATCAATTTGCTTTTTAAGATTTATGACTGATGCTGTTGCTGCTGCTACTAATTATTCTAGCAATTTCGTAATCTTGTGAAACAATTAAGCACTTTTTTTTATTAAATTAATTGTATTAAGCAGAATCGCAAGACGACGACGACAAGTATTTTACAAGATGTACACACAGCATATGATTTATATAGAAGGTCAATAGAGTCAAGAATCAAAACAATACACGCACTACTTACAGATTAGTCATAAAATCCCGTTATACTCGATCTCTTGCCACACTTTTAAATGCGTGCGTATCGATATGGTAAGCTTCATACAAAATGATTCATCAATTTTTTTATATTATTTTTTGAAACGTGGAGTTTTCTCCATGCATAATGTGAAGACAAGCCTAATTGAGTGTTTTTGATGGTAAGTGGTATCTCTGAACAGGTTTTTAAAGTACTCGTACTTGCTACAATTGTTTACAGCTAATGATTTTATCATGAACAATAATAAGATATCAATTTCCATTTGCTACTTTATGTCATTCAACTGCCTCATGACTGATAATCTTCTTTTCTTCACTTATCACACAGTAAAATGAAACGATTCGTATGAACTACTTAATAAGTGACATTTTATGGAGCTCTAAAATCGTCAACATGCATCAGAAGGTCTCCAATTACAAAAAGATTATAACTTATTTTTTATTAAGTTATGATCATAAAAATATGAGAAGTTTGAATGTTTTGTTGAGTATTAGTTTTGGTCAAGTTTTAGAAGCTCTTTTTCAATTTTCGCCGTTCTAGTTACGAAGCTCGGCTCATGTGTGGTTTTGAGGTCTTCGGCACAAAACGTGACTCCTTTGCTGTATACCTAGCAAATCTAAGATATACTAGCATCTGGATGATTTCATTACAGCATCTTGCGCACACGAATTGTGATTAGGTACATTGCAGGGGACATCAGGTCCATAGACGTACTCGTGTCTTTGCAATGTGCAGAGCTTGCAAGTGGTTCGGATTCCACTTTAAATTGTAGGTCTTAAGGGTGTGGTTCAATAAATTAATAATAATAATAAAACAGTTATTATTATTTAAATTAAAGTGCCTCCAGATTAAAAGGCTAGGCACTCTACATGCTTTATATTTTTTGGGGGCATTAGTTCATTAAAATCGTCTTTTTGGAAGCTCCTTCTTTTGATTAAAGTCGAGTCTTCTTTTATAGAATACTTCTCATCCGAGAATCGGCAACATTGGTTGATTTCAAATGCTGATATTCTCAGAGAGTTATTTAAATATATTCTCGAATTTATCCCTGGGTTGTACCTATATACTATTAAACTATTGGATAAAGCTATAAACCCTCATTTTTATGGTAGAGTTCAGTGAGTCTTTAAGTTAATTTCAATGCCTAAGAAACCAGATTGTTTGAAAATTAGTTTTAAAAACAAACATTCAGTATGTAAAGATTGAATCAGCCTTATTATTAACCAGCTTTGTGGTGTCAGAGCAGAGTGAAATCTCGAATCATATAATATGACATCCCATAGAGGACATCCCACTTGTCTATCAATTTTATTCGTTTTCTGGACGAAAAATGAAAAACATAGAGGTCTTTCATCTAAAAAATCAAGCAGATCGTCTATGTTTAGGAGAATCTGCCAGTGTGAGAGCTAGACCTCATTGACGCTAGTGGCTAGGTAACAGACTGGATATCTGCAGCCATTTTTTATGAAGACGTGGGTTCGATTCCCATCAGAAACCTATCTATCAATCATTATGTATAGCACTGTCAATATCACAATGATTCGCACTGACATTCTATCAATTTCTCATCCTTAAGTTCATCTAAGACAACCCTAGAGAAAATCTAGCAACAAATGCAGAGCTCAATATCTATAATTTAGCATGAAATCCTTAAAGTATTGTTAAAAAGGTGTTTAAACAAATTCTATTGTAGCTTGAATCTTAAATTATTAATTATATTGCTCAACTTGTCGATAAAAAGACTCATAAACCTTAATAGAAGGCCTCCAGCTCATCGCAACTTGTAGTAACACATCGCTTGGCTGGAACCCTTTTACATTATTATTAAACCTTAAAGGAAGGACTCTCAAAAATGACAAAATGCTGAAAATAATTCCTTCAATATTCCAACTTCTGCTACAGAACGATCTATGAACTAAGACTTTGTCTAGATGATAAATAAACATTAAAACGCATTTTAATAACTTTTTGCTTTATCATTTAATTTTTATTATTCTTTTTATGAAAATAAACTAGAAAAAAATAGCTCTAAACATATCAAAAGATAATAAATAAATTATTCACATTTCAAGTTTATAAATTTTTTTTTATCAGAATTTTAATCTTTCTACGATTTTGTAATGTAAAGTATTACGAAGTAGACTGCGACTATAATTGATTCTTATAACACTTGAGACAACATGCAAATATGAAAAATTAACAAGTTAAATTAACTGCAAAAATACTTTGCTAATATTTTGTAAAAACAAAGGAAAAAAAATTTGCACATAAGAATCGAGTTAGATGTGCAACAGTGCTGTAAAGTAACATCAAGAAGGATATTACAGAAAAGAGTGGGGATAATGCTGACACAAATACATCTATAAATATTTAGGTAGGGATGGCTGTAAAACATTAACAATTCTTTGATTCTTTGACTATCAGTTGTATTTTACATGATTATTGCCGTGTATGTACAGTATCAAGCAATGCTGTTGTGTCTGTAATGTTTAGTGGTGGGGATGAAAACATTCAAAACATCCACAAAGCAACAGCAATAAAAACATAACAAAAACATTGAAAACTGTAAATACGATATAAATGCACAACTCAATACACATGCACTTGGGTCATGAACAAAGAAATGTATAAAAAGTATCTGAATGTTTCGATAGCAGTCAGTGTTCGGTAGTAGAACCGAGAGATAGGACGTACTGTGTGAATGTAGAGCGAAGAAATTATGAATTTTACGTAGTAATTTGGCGCGAAAAAAAGATTCACAAAGAAAGTCGTATAAAAAGTGAAAAATTGAATTTAATTGAATTGAGGTCAAAAAAGTCACTCGAGATAAGCAACAAAAAAAATAATTAAACTATAAAAAATATTTTTAAGTGACAATAATAAAGTTTTAAGACAAAAAAAAATATTAATAAAGTGAAAAAAAAATCTATGAATTGAAAAAATGGCAATTCCATTCTATCCAGACGAAGACGAGTCGAGTGAAGCTCAACCGGCACCACCAGCTTCATCATTGCCACAACATAATCATAATAATTTTAATTATTCACATTTGCCACAAGTTCCGCAAATTGATAATGAAGCGTTGGTGCAGGCATTTTATGAAGCCCTTTGCCGATGCTTACAAGGTTTGTATGGAAATTGATATTTATGAAGAAAATTTGTTGTAATAATACCTACGGGAAAATTTAAAAAAAAATATTCTTGAGTGAGGAAAATTGTTGTGGAAAAGTTTTTAATTTTTTTTTGTGAAATGTGAATTTTAATTGGAGAAATTTTAAGTTTTTTTCTGATTGGAATTTTTTATAAAAATTATCAAATTGGAATGGTTTTTAAGTTTTCAATGAAAATTCTTTTAAATCGAAGAAGTTTTTAATAGGCAAAGATTTAAAGGAAATTGTTGAAAGTTTTCAAAATGAGTAAAATAATCATTTAAGCATTTGTGGAAGAAATTTGAAATTTAACGTGAAGATAAATTTAAAGTTAAAATGAAATGCAAAGTTGAAATTCAAAAGATCAAATAAAAAATTTAAATCTGATTTGTTTTCCAATTTTTTGGTTTCAAAACTTGATTCTAAACAAAGATAGTTGAATGAAAGAAAAAAAGCTTTAAAAACACTCCGTTCTTCATCTTCTTGATTTCTTATCAAAGTAATAAATTTTCCATGCTTAAAACATTTAAATCAAAAACAAAGGTTAAAAGAATCATTAACTATTCAAAATTTATTTTTTTTATTTTAAGAAATCAAAATTATTTTATTTAAAAATTTAAAAAATCTATAATTTCAACAGGTTTATTTTTTATTAATTTTAGAAATTTTTATTATTTGAATTTAAACAATTTTTTATTTTTTAATTTCAATAGATTTTATTCTTTGAATTTTAACAATTTTTATTATTTTAATTATACCAAATTTTATTTTAAGAAATTATAGAAAAAAATTGATTTTAAAACGTTTAAAATTCAACATTTCTAAAGATTCTTATTTTTGAACAATATGATTTCAATAAGATTTTCAAAATTAACTTTCAATACTAAATTCTAATTAATCACTTTCCAAACTATCTACAAATGAAACTCTATTTAAAAATGAAGATTAACTTAATTAGATTGATCCTTAAAATTATAAATAAGTGTAATTAAATGAAATTAATATTTTCAAAAAAAAATGAAATCATTAAGAAAAGAAAATTCAGAAATTATAAAAATTATTATGAAATTCCAATCGACCTGGAAACTTCGTGGCATTTTGTGGTTTTTAACATGACAATACCGATACTTAACCTCAAAGTTTCCTAATTGGGGAATTTACAAAAACACAAGAAACTTCAAAATGACAAAAAAAATTATATTTTCATATGAAAATGTCCCTTAAAATTAAATATTTGAGAAACAAAAAATCCCAATAAATTCTTCCAAGACACGATATTTACCCCTCACAAAAACTGAACCTTATCGTCAGTAAAACATCATCCAAAAGCAATAAATAATATCGACACAAATAAAAATTATTATCCACAATACAACTAAATGTACAATATTATTGAATAATGAGCTATATAATATAATTCAATATAAAAAAGAGCATAGAACAAAAAAGGTGAATCATGAAGTGCAAAATTAAGGTGACTCACAAATCCAACTGCCAATACACCAAGCGTTCGTAGAAAAAGAAGAGGAAAGAAAAAATTAAATTCCCTTAAAAGTTTCTCGACCGTGAAACGTAAAAACGTTAATTTATTAATTACCGTACTTTTCATTGCATTTCGAAGAAGATTCACAATGTAATTTAATAGAATAGAATGGAATTAAATATGGGTAAAAAAAAGACATGTAATTTCCGTGTTCGCGAGCCATGTATGTAAAGTAAATATTGCACCATACACATGACGCGTTCTCACAATAAAATATGCAAATTGTGACTGTATCAACAGATTTTTAAACAACTATAAATCAACAACAGTAATTTTTAAACACGTCATGATAAAATTAAATAAATATTTGCGTTTCTATGCTTAATTAAATTAACCACAATTCTCGTACAACATAAACTATGGACATGATTGTTAATCGAAAAAAAAATATTTTAATTTTTTATTTACAGCACAATCACCAACGACCCCAATGTCTCCGATGAATCCGTTTTGTCGCGAATGGCATCCGTCTCCTCACCACAGCAACGCCTCATCGACTTTCTCATCTGTTGCATCATCTCCACGTAACAGTTTTCGAGAGAGGCATGGCTATAATTCATTTGAGAATCAACCCGACGACAATGCTGATGAAAATGTGTCGATTGAGTATGAAGAGTATCTGCGATATCTTGAGACGGGATTTTATGCGAGTCACACTGAAGCACAACAGAAACCAAAAAGTAGAAAGAAACCAAAAGGAAGACTTACTAATTTTGTAATAAGTGCGTTAGAGTTTGTAATTGATACTTTAAAATAATTTTATGATTTTGACTATTATTTTGTAAATAGATAAGATACTTGAGATGATGGATTTATGGCTTTTTATGGAGAAGTTTCTTTGATTTCAAAAAGAATTAAATTTAAATTGATAAATTAAAAGTGATCCGAATTCAGTATTATCAGCATATTTGAGTTGAATTCAGCAATTCGGCGTTTTTATCTGCATCCAGTAATTCAGCTAATTTAATCTGAGTTCATCAAATCAGCTCAAATGAGCTATTGCACTTATAAACTGAATTTAGTTATTCAACACAAATCACCTGAATTCAGCACAAATCGCCTGAATTCAGCACAAAACAATCACAAAAGAATCCAACAATTTAACATTTTTATATCTGAATTCAGCACTTCAACGTTTTTATATCTGAATTCAGCACTTCAGCTTATTTTATCTGAGACGAACTCAGCACCAATAAGCTGAATTTAGTAATTCAGCAAATCAACTGAATTGCCACTTAGAATTCATATTATATTGAAGAAGTCTCAAGTATAAAAGCTATAAAAAGACATAAATCCATTCAATCAAGTATCCAATTAGAGTTAATCTAAAGCGAAAGAGTTTTCATTTGATCTCATTAAACATGCGAATGGCAACTACCTAAATGTAATTATTTGTAAGATCTCAAGCATAATCAAATATTAATTTTATTTTTGTTCGTACCATAAATACATGTGTACCGACAACCCAACTTTGTAAATTTTTCGATGCAAATTATAATTCTTCAATAAGCATGATTGTGATAAATTTATTGCATATAATTGGACTCAATAATGATTTATATTGTATAATTTGCAGTCAAACGGAAAATTGGTTTTTCCCAACATAAATTGTATGCAATATCAATTTTCATTACGATTTCTTTGTGTTACATTTATATATATATTTATAGAGTAAAATGATATGAAAATATTGAAAAATTAATAAATATGAAATTCATGAGTTCATGAGCAAATAAACCTTTTTACCAATAATTGTAAATTAACTTGTTTTCTTTCTTGTTTATTATTTATCGTCATTTCACGAATGTTTTCAGACTCAGACGATCACATGAGGTTTGTAAAATGTAGAAAGTTTTGATCCTTTTTTACAGTTCAGAAAGTTCTTTTGATGGAAATTTATGGAAAGTCGTAGATTTCATTGCTCTCGAAAGGCTTAAGTTTTCAGAAGATGTGCGACAAAATTATCTTGAAAATTTGTAGCAAATGAATCATTTAAGTATTTTTAAAGAACATCAGTTTGATAATTCAGACTAGATTTTTCTATAACAAATGATTTTATTTTATTTGAAATCTTTGAAATTAGTTAAAAGATTTATAAAATTTGATTCAACTGTTTATAAATAATGTCGAATAAAGTTCTATTCAGTCATTAATTAATTCTTTCGTTGAAAAGGAACGCGTGGAAATGGACGTCTAGTCACTGGAGGACGTCGAGAGTTTTTAGGTTTACTGGGTTTTCTACTGCTTTTGGCCGCTTCAGCAACACTCATCAAAACGCAAATAAACATAAAAATGAGTTTAAAATTCCTTTAATTAATGAAACAAATTAGCTCTTTTTTAAAAACATTTATTTTCAATAGCAACTTACATTGTTTTGCTTGTTTCTTAATATTTTCTTCTCAAGATAGGAACTTTACAAAGAATTAAATTCTTTATTCAGAATGATTGTTCGATTGAACTCACAGCTCTTTTTATACTAAAATCTTATCAATTTTCAGACTCGGTGATTCTTTTTTTTTAAAAAAGTAGACCGAGAATTGTGATTTTTTAATTTTAAAAATAATAGAAAATCTTCACAGTTTTTTAACTTTAAAAAATTTATTTATGAATTGTCAAATTTACAGAAATAATTTGCAAAAACTATGGCACCAAGTCCAAACAATTTAAATCTAAAAAGCAATAAATCCACAAATCAAAACAACTTAGTTTCTTAAAAACATTATTTTCGCTTAAATCTATGAGTCAATGTCACTAAATTATTTTTGCCTCCAGTTGGGAACTTTCCCGGACCATGAGAAACACTTCCAATGCTTATTCCTCCTTTAAAGGGTTTAATAATTTTTTTGAAGAACTTCTTAAGGCTGAAAGCTTGCGATGATGCGACGAACAATATTACAAAAACAAGTAAAATCTTTCGAAAATTCCTTAAAAATAATTATAATAAAAGCGTGTAAAATAGATTTTAAAAATGGTTAAATTTTTAGCAAAGATTTGACTTACATTTTGATTCTGAATATTTTAACTTCTTCAAGTTGTAACAAAAACAGTTTAAAATCAATTGATGGACTAGTGTATAATTCAAGTCATTTATATACAATATATCAAAAAAGGCTTTCGACAAAATTAGTGAATTTTATTCAAGGTAAGTTCGGGGATGTTTTCTTGTTCGAATGAATTCTAAGCCGAATCTTCATTCAAGGTTACAATTTTTTTTTTATTGAATTTGTTTCAAGTAATTTCATAAATGTAGGAATGAAAAAAATCACAATATATTTTTAGAAATTTTATTTGCAACTTTCTGACAATAAATTTATAAATTTTTATTTTATTTTATAATTTGCTCTAAGAACTTTATTAAGATTCTTAGAGGTAAGATTCTTAGGATCTTCTTTAAGATATATCCTTGGTAATGTTACCTCAAAGGATGTCAGAAAATTGAAAAGTTGCAACTATGCAGCAGCTTTCGCTATTATTCTCTTGTTGCTTGTTTTTATTGCAATCTCCAGTTGAATCTTATACCGGGATTAAAGTCATTTGGTTGACCATTGTAACTCCGAGAGACGCTGCCAACTTGATCAATGCTGAATCGATCTTTTTTAAACAAATTTACGTTACTTTCGGCACCATAAGGATTAAAATGGCTTGGAGGAGCTCTCTGGAAACTATGTGATCCAAAATTAAAATTTCTGTTTTGATTTGGCCAGTTGAAATTTCTACGATATCTGGTTCCACGTTTTATTGGTCCATTGAAATTTCTGGTACCATCTGCAAACGCTTCAGCACTCAAATTATCCGCGATTTCATTGAAGAGATGCATGTTTCCTGTGGTTAATGAGTCTTTGTTTTCATTGATTTGACTCATTATGGAACCTCTGTTGGTGAGAGGTTTTTGAGCAGTCGATAATGAAAACATTATCAAGATGACAAATATTAAAATGTTCAATTGATTCCTGTTTAATATAAAGCTATGTTAGTAAGTTCTTTCATCCTTAAAGTCAAGCGAGTTTTTGTTATTTTTTAACTTACATTTCCAATAAGAATTTTCAGAAGTAAGTTCCTTTTGAGTATTGAATTCTTGTTAGCTTCAAGTAAGAATGATGCTGTCGTTCATTTTTCACCACCTTTTTATACAAGATTGAAGAATGTTCTTTAATCTTCAAATTAATTGATAAGGATAAGGAATCACCATATTTTTTTAATCGAAGGAAAGTCTTTGATCAGTCAGAGTTGGATTAAATATTTTAGAAGCTAGTATTGCTAGATAAAGTTTGTATTGCTTATTTGAGGATTTTCGAATATCGAATTTTAAAAAAAATGTTTCCCTTAAAAAACTCAAAACTTTGAACATATTCTTTAAAATTAAACATCAAAAGACTCTCTGGGTGCTTCTTTATTATCAAAATAAAATTATGTCTATTTCGCTTATTATTTAAACGAATCTTATCTCGGTGAAATTTTTAAATCGTTCCATATTAAGAGTATTTCACCGTTCTTAATGGGAGCTAAAGTCTGCATGATCTAAAAATATCATTCTTAATTTTTTTTGAAATTTTAAATTTGAATCTTTTTATTTAAAATTTGAAATGATAAATTTAAATCTTTTTATTTAAAACGCCAAACACCCCTCACTCCTACATTCCAGTTGGTTCTTCCATTTGAATATGGTCCAAAATCACGAGAAGCACCTCCAAACCCATCAATCTTCAGTCCTTCTCTATTGTGTAAATTTACATTAGCATTTCCACCAAAAGTATTCATATTGTATTGAGGAATTCTTTGATATTGAAGTGATGTACTGTGTCCTCTTTGATTCTGCCAACCTAAATTCCCTCCAAATCTGTTACTGTCTTGTCCTGAACCTCGAAAATAATTAGTTCCTTCTGAAAATGCACCAGCATTTATAGTATTTCCATTTCTGTTTAAAACATTAACGTTTCCTTGAATCGAGTGTGACAAAGCTTCTCTGTTCCCAAAGATATTTGCAGTAAGGGAGCCTCTGTTGAAAGCTGGATGTGTAGAAAAGTTAAATTGAGCATTTGTTGATGAGAAGATCGTTAGAATTGCAAGGATGAAAACGTTGATTTGATTCCTGTTGATTAAATGTTAGAATTTAGAGAATAAAGTAGAGTATTTGATTTACATTTTGAAATTTTGAATATTTGGAAGCTGCTGCTTGTTAACTTTTAAAGTCTGTGTCAGTTATGAATTAAAATGATAAGCCTTCATCACTCTTTTATACAAGAATATCTATTTGCACATCATTTGGTAGAATAAATAGCAATTAAAAGGAATCACCAAACCAAATTTCATGCGATTGCAGTTTTAAGATCCAGAAGTTTGCATTAAACATTTCATATCTTGTCACATACTTATTTTATGGCAATTCAGGGGCAACCGTTTCTAGTCAAGTAATTTTATTCCTATCTGTATGCAATGGCTAAACAACAAATCATTGCAGACGAAGTTGGGAAATGGAACTGGATTGGCCATACATTAAGAAAAGACCATACAGACATCGTGAGGCAAGCGATCTTCTGGAATGCCCAAGGAAATAGCAGCTTTGGCGCAGAATCGAGTGCGATTTAAATGGTTTGTAGACGCCCTACGCTTCATTGTGGAGTAACCGGAACCCATCATCATCAATTTTATTCCAGCCTCAGAGTGTTGAATATCGATTTTCGGATAGGTTGCCTGGCTAAAGTGCACCCAAAAGTCTATACAGAATGGAGAAGAGTTAACTCTATACTTGACAGAAAATTTCTGGTTATATTCAATGAATAATGAACTTAAGTAGTTGTTTAAACTACCTTCGAGAAGTCTGACCCCTTCTTAACAATGTCTAGCTACCTCAAATAACACAAGTCGGTTAATCGAATAGAAATCCGATGACAATTCGGTTGTGATTCTGGCATGATGCTGGCTTCGATTTAAATCCAGTACTATACACAAGTCTGGCTTGGTGCAAGTTTTCTGATCGATTAAAAGACTTGTGCCATTCGAGTACGACCCTGCCCTGCCCCCCCCCCCCCCTAAAATCCTGGCTACGCCCCTGGACCCTGCTCTGTAAATTGCCATTGTTATCAGCATTATAAATTTGTAGATCTTATTTATCACTTCGCAGAGCTTTATATTTGCAATATTTAAATATTTTATTATTTTTAACAAAATTTTACCATAATTAAAGGTTTATTAACTCATATCAAGAGTAAATTGGGATTCCCAGATGAAATGGTGAAATTCAGAAGATTCTCAAATATAAAATATTTACATGATAAGAGCTGTTTGCAACTTGAGGACATGAATGCAAACAATTATATTTGATTATCTTATATTAAGTAAATTTACTTTGATATAAAAATTCAATGAAAAATTCATTCTTGCATCATTTTATTCAAAGCTTCTAACGATTGCTTACGGTTACAACAAGACTATCGATAAAAAAGAAAATAAGGAACAATGTAAGTTTAAAATTTAAAGTTTTAAACAAAAATAGTAGCTTTTGTATCATAAATTTTACAGGAATTCTTCAAAACTTTCCATCTTAATCATTTTGATGACATTTTCATCAATTCAAGCTCAGCCACAGCAAGCATCAACAAGTCATCTTAAATTGCCCACTAAACTTGTATTTAATGAAGATGAAAATACAGGTGCAGTTCGTCAATCTTCAGCTCTTGATACAAGCTTAAACAATCCTACTAGTGGATCTTTTCGAATATCTTTATTAAATGATGATAGATTTAGAGGTGGATCAAGTAGAAGAGGATACAATGTACTTGATGATCTTTGCAGAAGATATTGTTCACCGATTCCAATTTGGATTCCGAATAGGCGTTATATGTAGACATTAGATGTTCTGAATATAATAATCTATTGGAACTAGATTGCAAAACCCGAATAGCACAAGTCGGTGAATCGATCAGAAATCCATGCATGACCCTGGCATCGATTTAAATCCAGCACCATGCCAGAGTCACACTTGCTTGAAGCCGGATTTTTGATCGATCAACCGACTTGTGCCATTCGGGAAATTACAGCATTCAATATTATCAATACCAATACTTTAGTCAACACAAAAATTAAGGAATAAATAGCTTTATTCAATAAATAAGTTCAATAAATATTTTACTACATTTTCTCTATAAGTAGCCTCAAAAAGTCTTTAAAATCTCTTCTCAAACTTAATTCCCGTATTCCAATCAGTACGTCCTCTCTGATGCTGTCCGATATTATGTGAAGCACTTCCATACGCATCTAATCTTGCATCCTTATGTTTCCACAAATTAACATTAGCATTAGCATCGATTGTTTGTTTATTGAATTGTGGAATATTGTTAGTTCCAAGTGATGCACTGTGTCCATTTCTATGTTGCCATTCAACATTTCCTCCATACTGATCGACACGATTGATTTGTCTCTTGTGTAATCGTGTACGTTCACCCCAAACATTTGCGTTCACTTTGCTACTTCCATTATCAAATAAATTTACTGTTCCACGAGCTGCATCAGTGCTTGAATGTTTATTCTGTGAGTGCTGATAAGATAATCCATGCCCATTGCTAAAATCATAACCGATTGTCAAATGATTTTCAAAAATGGATTAAAATGAATTTTCATACTTATGATAATTTATACCAGCACCGTAGTTTTTATCAGTAAGACGTATGTTGTTGCCTGGATTGAGGTTACCTGAGCCAAAAACTGTGCCAGATGCGTGATGATTTGGTTGACCAATTTGTTTGGTGTAGCTGCCGCCTAAGTTGAGACCACCAGCGTTGTTAGGATTTGCAGACCATTTGAATTGCGCTGATGTTGTTGAAATGAGCAATAGAATTGCAAATGATGTTAAAATTGTTGGATTCCTGAGAATTAAAGGAGCTTATTGATTATTTTATAGCAATTTAAGGGGTAAGAAAGGGTATAGTTCAGGATAGGTTGGATCTAGGAGAGTCCTAGTCATCCTAAGTGAGCCTCAGTCTACTAAGGATAAACCTAGTTTCATTGGGATTACTATAGTCGAATTAAGATAGCTTTATTCTTGCTGAGATAGCCTAGTTCTTTCTATGATAACCATAGACTCTTCCTATGATCAATTTTGGTCTATATCATAGTCATAGTCGACCTAGGATAGGCCTAGTCTATCTAGCAATCAGCCTAAGTCACCAATTTGTACTCAAAAATTTGATTTTATTTTTAATAACCCCAAAAGTCAAAATTCAAAGAATTTCAATCTTCAATCCTTCAACTTACATTATTCTTTCCCTTCAAGTCACTAGAACTAAAGCTGAAAACTATTTGATGCTTAATTCAATAAATCAGCCGCCTTTTATACTAAACATCTCATTCAATTTGCCAATAATTCGGTGAATTTTTATTTGACGGTGATCTTTTCTACAATTTTTTTATTCGGAAACAGCATCGCGAGACAAACCTGTCAGCACATTATTGTAAACACGGTCTGTTTCAGAATCGTAAATACTGTTCATACATCTTTTATTATTCCTTATCAATGAGTAAATTGTACTGAACAAAAAGAGAATTTATTTGCGCGAAAACAACGTGAATCACAATTTTTTTTAGTCTACGCGAAATATTGTAAGATGAATGTGGAGAAGAAAAAGAAGCAAAGGCAGACTTAAAGTCTGGAATTGTAAAGAATTCTAAATGAATGTAAATTATGTGCATGCAATTAAGTCGAGATTGTATTGTATTGTAGTTCTGTGGGAATTTATGAAGGTTTGGGTCATTTTTGGCGGTAAATTGTTACTTATTTTGATTGTTTAAATCATCTTGGGTAGTGTTGCTCATTTTTTTGGTTCATGACTTGGTGGAGGTGACTTCAGATAGCTCCTTTTTGAATTTTTACTCAAACTGTTGACGAATCAAGGTTTTTGACACCTAGTGCACTCCTTTTATTAGCTTTTAGACACATTTTCGTGTGATTTACTGCGTATTTTCAGAAGCTATATCTCTGGTGACTTCCTCTGTGCAACATCATTAGATTGGACTAGACAAACACTGATTTACGAACTCACATTGACAAATTAAATGATTTCAAGCCTAGATGCGATCAAATCAGTCAATTGGGGCTACCTGACTGTGTCTTACACGATGACATCGTTCCTACTTATCGATCTCCTCACTCGAATATTTATTGAAATAAAATTTCAAGTCTTCAAGCAGCACAAGCTGAACTTAAATACCTCAAAAATCACAAAAACTAAGAAAAATTCAAAAACACAAAATTTCATTAAACTTTATTTCCACTCAAAATTCATTGAATTTCCATCAATTTCAATTTTCATCCTCTCCAAAATGTTCAATCAGCATGTCTAGATTGTTGCACAAAAGCTTAGCAATTTCTATTCCAACAGTTTTAAAATATTCTAGTGTATTATTTGTATCCTTGTCTGCATAGCTCAGCATCAGGATAGCAAAACTCAACAATATTATTAAATGAAGTTTTAAATCCATATTCGATTTTCTGTTTCTACTTATTTCTAAGAGACTCAAGCTGTGAGTATTATTATTGATTTACACAATAGAAACTAAGCTTAAAGACGAGATTGATTCTTTATTTTATTTTAAACTATAATGCACCAATTTAGGTTATCATGTGTTAGTGCAGTCATATAACTGGCACAATTCTTATCATGAAGCTTAAGCGACGCTACTCTATTATTTTATATAAAAGGTTTAGTCAAGTTCATCATAAGGATAATGCATAGCTTTCTACAAAGAAAATATTTTCGCTTTATTTTGGGTAAATAATAAAGTTTTAAGGTGTTTGCATTCTAAAGCATTAACCGAACATCACTTGAGGTTTCCCAAAAGCATTGTTAAGTTTTTGAACATTTTCATCTTTGTTGTTTGAATATTTTACCTGCATGGAAGCAATTGCTGCTTTAAGTACATGCTTCCATTTACCACAAACATGTTTACTTACCACAAATGTTAATATTGACAATTTTAAGGGAATTTAAGTGCTGAATTGGACTTTAGCAATATTGACGCTTCTATTAGCTGAATAATTGATTGAATTTAAACTAATATCTTCAGAATATTGATAATTTGTGCTGAATTGAGATGAATTTAACGAAATTTGTGCTGAATTCAGCTGATTGAAACAAAATTGTTGCTGAATTCTGGCAAATTAATCAAAATTGTTGCTGAATTCAGGCAAACTATTCAAAATAATTGTTTAATTCAGCAAAACGAATCAAAATTGTTACTGAATTCAGCTTAATTAACCTTATTGTTGCTAAATTCACCAAAACTGATTGACAACGTTCCATAACTACTTACATTCTAATCATTTCAACTCATTTCTTTGTATCCAAACTTTATTCAAATCCCAGCTTTGAGATTCACACAAAAAACACACAATTTTTTCATTTCAATGTCAAAGTTTACACCTAGAATGAACTTACATTTATTATAAAAAGGATCTTATCCTTAATCCAATGATATTTTCATTCCATCATTCAAGATAAATTCTTTCTTTATCTTAGAGAAAACTTACATCGCTCGAAGTGATAAAAAATTTGAACGATTCTAAGTTGAATAGTATAAAAGAGCATAAATCCAATTTCCAATAATGATTTCATCATTCCTCTGCTATCAGATACAATTCAAGGTTTTTCACTATAAAAGAAAACTTTTTTTATTATTATTCAATTCTTTAAGAATAAAATTGAATCTTTATCGAGTACAAAAGCAGCAGAGGAATGAATGAGATGAAATGGGGTCAATCCTAAATGATGTTCATCTAAATTAAGTATCATTTGACCATCTTTTATCTTTATGTGTCCCAAAAAAATCATTTTTGAGTGCCACACAGTTCAAGAACCCCTCTTTCCTGATTTTAAGACGTAACTCCTAAACCAACCCCAAAGAAAATTCTTCTGGAAATGAAATCTTGCTTTTTAAGCATTCAACTGACTGGATAGCAATAAAATAAGTAACATCTTGATCAAAAACTAAAAGAGTAACTCTTAGAATTGTACGGATTGCATTTTAAATAGCTATGACTATCATTGCTTTTGATTTTTGTGTCCTTGAGACGTTTCGACTCAATAAAAAGTTTCTTATTTTTTCTCTTTATTGTTATTAAATGACAAGGAGTACAATGTGAGGAGTTAGAAACAGCATTTATTTTTCCTTTTATAAATTATTTCTTGTTCGCTTTCGATTTGATAATAAAAAGTTGACACTTGCACAAAAGATTTATGTGCATAATGCAGAATGATTCAATTGTTAGCGATTGTTTCTGTGGATGAGGGGTTAGTGAGGATTACAGTTTGTTTCTATTGAATCCTAGTACTAGTTTTATTTACTGAGTAGCTTTCAATGTCCTTTCTCTAGTTTTCTTTAACTTAGCTTTTGGATACTGAAAAGGTTCTTACCACTTTATTACTACTAAGTTTAGTAATGCTGTAGGGCAGTGATGGTCAACCCGTGTGTTGCGGCACACTAGTGTGCCACGAAAAAAGTTGTGAAAACAAATGAACCGTATGCCTTATGCGATTTTTGTCATGGCTTTCCACTAAATGTGGTGTGGCACAAAAAAGGTTGGCAACCACAGCTGTAGGGTAAGCCTTACCTAAAATTTGTTCAGGATTTTACCTTAAATACGGCCTAGATCAGTGTTTGTTAAAATATTCTGACTCCACACACTTAACCTCATGAACAGTGAAGATTTATTGTACCGCCTTCCATTTTGGGTACAGCTGAAAGGTTTTGCGACTCAATAATGTGTCACGCAACACAGTTTTAGAAGCAATGTCTTGAAAAAAGACCTAGACCTGGTGTGGACAATCTTTTTAAAGCCATTAGTGACACGTTAAGTCTGCAAAATCTTTCGCGCATATTTAAGTATCCTCTACGGCTCACTATTGTGCCACGACACACAGGTTGGTAATAACTAATCTAAAGCAGTGGTGTCCAACCTTTTTTGTGCCACGGCACACTTGGTGGTAAGCCATGACCAAAACTGCACACATCATACAGCTCGTGGGATATCCCAAATTTTTTCACGGCACACGAATTGACCATCACTTATCTAAGGTATAGCCAAGTTTATGCCAATAGTTTATTACTCCTTTGTTTATATAAGAAAATTCATTACAATTTTAATTTTTGGAATCTATAAAGTTCATATTTTTGCTAGAATTAAAGCTCTAGCTAAGATTCTAGTTCTCATTGTTGCAGATTAACCATTAAAACATTTATATTAATCACCAAAAAATGCGCACCTAATTCAAAAGTTCCAAAAAAACCATCCTCACAATTCCATCCTTTCTTTTAAATCCACGAATACTCCCTTCAATATGGTCATAAATTTTAAAATCGCCGAATTGGCTGACTGAATCGATTGAGCGTATCAAATGACGGTTCAATTAAAATTATGTAACTTCTAGCACTCCACTATGCAATAACAATAATAATAACATGTAATATGTGTGTTAAGTGTAAGACTGAACATGAACAAATAAAAATATTGAATTTATTGAACGCAATTGCAATTGAAAAATAGAAAATAAAAAATTGAACCCTTTTTAAAATAAAAAGACATAATTTTAAAATTGAAATGTGTGTATTTATTGAACATAGAGGCGCTTCCTTTAAAAGCACATAAATTTTAAAATAAATTTTCAATTTGACACAAAAAATGTAACAAATGTCATCAATGAAATTAATCAAATGGAAAGATTATGTGAATTTGTGTCCTGTGTTTGTGCTGACGCTAAAAGAAGAATGTATCTTGTCTACATTGTGCAATATTTGAGTACATTTTATAGACTTTAAAGTAATGAATATTAATTTTATTGCATAAAATTTATTCAAAAAAATCTGTCATAGGTGCTGACAAAATATTGTTGACGACTAAATTGTATCACAATGATGATTTAACATGTCATGCACAGACCGAACGGTACATTCCGAATATTTAGGGAAGCGTGTTAATGGAAACAATATGTAACTTTAGTAGGAAACTGTGATAAATTTCATTATTTAACATCAAATAAGATGGCACAGCCTTGATGGAACCCCCTTCAGTATCTTATCATGTATTTTTGATGTTTTGTTAAGGGGGAAAACAACATGATGGGAAAAGGTTTTAGTTTCAAGTTGAACAGCATAGTCGTTATGGTATCGCAAGTAAAAAAAGGCAAGGGGAAAACAACGTGATAGAAAAAATTTAAAAATAACAATTACCCAAACTAGTTGTGTCCCCTTTGGACTTTTCCATTGACACTGTGACCTAACGATGCCTTAACGACTACTTTGTGTGTTTGGGGTTCAAAACTATATTCCAGAGGGATAGCAACTTGATGGGTTAAAGTTTTTTTTACATCATAAATTTTTAACTTCAAACTGTTTTCCAGCTATTTCACTTCTTTTTCAAAACCTCAAAAAATCTATCCTGATCAACTCTTTAAAGTTTG